CTCTTAACTCTTGGCCCCTACCATGGAGGCTGCCGTTGCTCTCTGGATTGCGTAAGAGGTAGGAAATCCACTGTTAGTCTTAGCAGTCCGTTTTTGACTACTTCCCATCTTTCTTCTATGATAAAATCTGGATGGTTGGGCACCCAGGACATTATTGTCACAGCCCTTTTCATTTCTTCTATCCGTAGCTTGCCATAGCACATAATGGAGGCGGTTGGAAACAGTGTTTTTTGTATGGAAAGTGAATCCTTCATCACGATATGATCACTTTTTCCCAGGGTACCTAAGTCCTCAATTAATAATAATAAAGGTATATTTCATGAAGCTCCGTGATGTATGCAGAAGCGTGATCGTATTTACAATGCAGTCATATGCACAAGAAAAACGCAAAGAAAACATTTGAAAGTCACAGTGCACTGTGCATGCTCTAACAGAGCATGTCAGTGAAAATAGACCAAAACAGGAATCATTATACCAGATAAACGATAAAATGTTTCGATCAAGGATCGAAATGAGGAGAGATGGTCGGCGGATCAATGTACAGCAAAAGATGGAAATAGGTACAAGAACGGATCTGATGAAACAAAACGGATTTGAAGCATCTGTCAAGGTATATGTATTCACCATACGGCGTGATTCCGTTGACTTGAGTGAGGACACTTTGGATGGCTTCGGGGACTTCGATCAGTAATGGACGATTTGGGTTATTTAGTTTATTTAGGCGTTGGCCTCTTTGATGTGGAACTGACTATACGCTAGGCACCGAAATTTAAAACACCCTGTAGGTGAGACAGAAAGTGCGTTCCCCAACCTGGTCCGGAATGCGGACGCATGTAGTCAAAGCGGTGGATACAGCCGCGCCCAACAGATCTTTGTGATCAGTAGATCTCGTACTGAGGGCGACTGACACCCCCGGTGTCTTGTTGGCATCGTGCAGTTGCAACCGTTGTAAGAATGCTTCATCCGTGGATCCTCTGGGCGCGCTACCAGCCTCCCAATTAATAGCTGGAAAGATGAAGTCACCCAGAATAACGAACTCCCTAGTTCTAACGAGCACTGTTTGCAGTACTCTCAGTAGGTCGTCATTCTCCTGTCCATTGGCGAAGGGGGGCTCTATAGACACATATGATATACACTATTTTTAAATCAAAGTTTACGAAACAGGACGTGACCTGAATATTGTTAGAATCCATTTTAAAAGCAGCCTCCCAACTTACATAAGTTTGATGCATTGAAATGGCAACCCTCTAATCTTCCATCAGTTCTGTCCTGTGAGTAGTTTATATAGCTCCTAATCTGTGTTCTCACATTATTTGGACTCCACCAGGTTTCGGTGATGGCAGCTACTGCAAACCCCGTTACTCTGGTGGCCTATTCCCCTTTGATACTGCAAGCATCAGTGTACCAAATCTATGGTTCACCTGCTTGCATTTCATGTCCCCCTACGACCGGTTTTTTTTATTGTGCCCTCGGACGTAGAGTCGAGGGGCTGACTGGATTTTTGCCACGGGTATTGCAGCTACAATGGTATGCTCGGGGTTTCACGAGACAACTTGGTTTGAATATTTGAAATCCTTGCAGGTCAGGTCGAAGTCCAGCCTGCTGCCTTCTGGCCTTGGCACTGACTGCTGGTCTATATTATGGATATCTTTCAGGCTACCTACCACGATTGTTCAGCTCCTGTTTTTCGGAGTACCAACCACGTCTTTATTCACAAGTTGATCGCAGTTCACCCGATTGTGTGGCCCGTTTCC